GTTTGAGTCCCGTTTCTCTTTTTGGGGTTTTTTGTTGTTCTCCCGCCCTGGCGGGGGGTCGGGCTAGAAGATCTACTAGGTCCCTTCCGACCCTTAATCTATGAATCTATGAATCTAAGAGTGATTCCAATTCTCTAATTTTTGAAGGCTTCAGGACCAGCAGCTCTGAGTTGGGTGTAGGACATGCATTTCCCTGGCTGGACACCCATTGCACTAAACCTACAGCCTGTGTTGTTTGACAGGTTGCCTCCTACTGATCAAATGTTCTGTCTTGGAATAGCACTGCCCCCGCCATCTTTGCTGGAGGGTGGTGTGTGCTTGATGGTCATTTTTCTTTGCTGTGTTGGATTCCAGGGGTTTTGCTGCTTGAAATGGAGGCTACAATGCAGCAGACTCCTATGTCTATAGCTTACTTTATGCAGTGTACAGTGTGTTCCTATAGCCCTGCTGCTGTATGCACTGTACAAAGCTGTATTGTGGCCTATTCCCTCTGAAACTCCCAGTTCCCACCTTTCTGAATGAATATGTCTTTCTGCTTGCATTTTTTTGAGATTCTAAATACGCAGCAGCTTTTAAGCTATGACTGAAGCCTTTTCACTCTGAATATTTTACAAACATATATGGTTCTTTTGATAAGCCTAATGACATTGTAGCTGTCAGCTTAAGTGAAGCACTTCAATTTATAGGTATGAATAATGCTCCAGTTTTTGCAGTGGCATGAGAGCAGACCTACTTTCTGCATTGTGAAATCCTATGTTGAGCCACTGGAGGGCGGTGATGTTTTGATTTTTGTTTTGCAAAGATTCACTGACCCATATTCAGTCTTAGAACTTTCTGACTCGCCTGTGCGTGGGTTTGTTGGTTTAAAAGGTTTTTAAAAGCAGAATCTTAAAGGGTCAATTAACACTATTTAATAGTGGTGTTTCCTTGCCTATGTTGGGTTAGACTCTCCTTCACATAATTGTGCCACTATTATGCTACTTGAAACATGTTTTCATGAAGGTGGTTCAGTTCATGTGAATCAATATAATTCAATGAGTTACAGTGTGGTAAAAAAGAGGTAAATTTAGCTGAACATGTACTGACTGTCAGTGTCCTATGCCATATTTATAGGGAGCAAGGACACTGAGCTAACATGTGGAATGTGAAACAGCATTTTGCTTCATTTAAAAGGAGGAATTTGCTGGAACTAATAGTCTGTTTTGTAAAAAAATAAAAAAAGCATATTTGGATTAGCTAAGTGCCACAAAATAGCACAGCATGAAACCAGTGAGAAGCCAAGGTGCATATTCTGGAACACCTAACT